CTTGATTTTAATTTCTGTCATTTAATCTAAACTGAAAGCTGTGCCTCCAGTCACCCTCTTATTCTTCTTTCCTGCATTTCTGAGCTCAGGAATACCAAGCAGAGCATGGCATGAATGGTTGGACCACAGCTCCAAGAACCCATTTTTACACTTCTCCAGGCATGGGACATAGAGTTTGGATTTGTCCAAGCCACATCCTGGACTAAACCTTGGAAGGAGAGATTTTAATCTCAACTGGGAGATAACAGTTTCTGCAATTAACCAAGTGTAAAAAGATCAACAACAGTTTATCCAGATTTTGTAGATTAATTTCTCCTGTACCTTTTCCACTTTTTCCTCTGTCTGGAGTGGAGCTTGGATGCCACAGAGCTGCCAGGATATTATAATCAGAAAAAAAAATGTCAGGAATAGAAGCACAGTGTTAGACAGATGGCTCGGGCCCTTCCTTCATTTGCTTTTCAAATTAAAGAAATGTGCCCAAATGAGACACTTGATAACTGAATACCATGCAGTCCCAACAGCCACACTCTGGAAGAACCTGGGATTTTGCCTTCCAAATGAGACACTTGATAATGAATACCAGCTCTCCCCTCCCCATGCAGCCCCAGCTCTGGAAGAACCTGGGATTTTACCTTGTGAGCCACAAACGCTCGGTTTATGTTTAGGTAAAGGATGCCTCTGACCCTGACTTCATGGGGTCACATTTTATGGGGCCTCAAGGCTTTTGGAAGCGTTTCCATGCAATAAATGCCTCTTCTTGGGAATTGTGTCTGAAATCACAGCGGGCAGATGATGCCAGGGGGGTTTGTGTGCTCCACACGAGCAGCCAGCTTTTCAAACAGCGCAGGAAGCCCTTGGAAAGTGGAATTAATCACACCTGGAGAGAGGATGGAGGTGTTAAAGAGGCCATCTGAGGAGCTGGGGAGCCAAGTGTAATGTGGTGGCACATCAGGGTGACATAAACAGCTGTGACAGAGCTAAAAATACAGCACAGACCCCGTGAGCGTCAGAGCTGATCTTCCCTTCTCCTCCAAACAACTCCCAAGGTAGGAAAACACAGCAAGGCAGTGACATGAAAGGGGAAAACCATCCTCTCTCATTTGCTGGGGTCACTCAGCCTATTTGTGGAACGTTTCCTTGTTGGGAACGATGAAAGTTTGACAAGAAAGTCTCTCAGATTTGTGTGCTTGGCAGAAAGATTTTTAAATGTAGAGTCTGATGAAGGAATAGAAATTAAAGCAAGTTTTGATATAGAAGAAAAGAATTGCTGAGCCAGTCTTGCTGGATAACCAAGGAGGCAAAGGCTGTGTTAGTTAGAAGGGGTTTTTAGGATAAACCCACCCCAAACAAGAAGATGTTTTTACCAAGCAGGAAGAGAGCACAGGCAAACAAGGCAGCAAAGTTGCAAGGAGAAAAAAGTCTCAGAATTTTCCACTGCAAGAAAACTGAAAAACAACTTCTAGTTTAAACTGCAATGTACTGACTTTTAGTGATTGGAGAACAGTGACATGAATATGGTAATTATAGTAGTTATGATAGGCTGTAGATAATAGTTAAGGTGTAGATTGGTTCTGCTGTATGAAGATGCTCAGCAAAGAAAAGTAAATAATGCATTGTAACCAAAAGAAAAGTAAATAATGCATTGTAACCTAAACTAAGGGTCTCCAGGCCTGCCTGCAGCTGGAGCTGACAGCTGTGGGCACAGCTCTGTCACCCACAACCCTGGGCTGCTGAAACCTCTTGGATGGAATAAACTGCATTTTGTATACAATAAACTGCATTTTGTACTCAATAAACTGCATTTTGGAGAGCCCCTGGAGTTCCACATCTCTCATTTCGGCTCTTATGTTTCCTCCATCCTTTCCCTGAATGTGTGTGCAGAACAAAATTCTCGGAGTGCTCAGAGCTCGGTGAACAAAGAGCACCAGCCCAGCAGTCAGGGCTGCAGACACGGGCACAGGGCAGGGACATCACCACAGCGTGTTAAATGCATTATTCAGCACACTGCAACATGGTAAAGTGACAATTTATCCTGCATTTACCTTCCTGTCAGCAAAGGTATCAGAACAGAACGGGGTGCGCTGGTGTCACAGACATCTTTTATGGAAAATCCTTTCCTTGGGGTTTTTCCTCCTGAGAAGCTGAGAGACCTCAGGGGCAAAATGCAAACAATGGTTATCTGCTGCTGTGGAATGCAACAGGTGCATCTGGGATTGGTGTCATGGGGTTGTTTCTAATTAATGGCCAATCACAGTCAGCTGGCTTGGACAGAGAGCCGAGCCACAAACCTTTGTTATCATTCCTTCCTATTCTATTCTTAGCCAGCCTTCTGATAAAACCTTTTCTTCTACTCTTTTAGTATAGTTTTAATGTTATATATATCATAAAATAATAAATCAATCCTTCTGAAACACGGAGTCAGATCCTCATCTCTTCCCCAGTCCAAGAGCCCCTGTGAACACGGTCACACACTGGAGAAACAGAAATGAGGCGCTGGAAGAGAGATCCAAGCTGGAGCACAGAGGAAAAGGAAACACTTCACCAAACTCAGATGCCTTGATCCCAAAGGGGAATTTAAAGCACTGCTCGGAGCCAGAACATTTTAGTGAGCAAACCCTTTGTGTTCAGTATGCAGACATTGTTTCCAGTGGGGGGAAAAAAAAATGTGCAATCGCATTTCTCAAATCCCCAGAGCTTCCTATAGAAGTGGGTTCCCAAATTATATCATCTACCAGTTCCCTTGTATTCTTAATGATCCAGGGAACCCAAGGGGATTGTCTCTGCATTTAAGTCTGCTCAGACACAAATGCAAAAAAAACCTGAATTCCTTTTGCTGTGAATGCAGATGAACAAACTGAGCAAAAATAAACCTGGGCTATCTGCCCAGCTTTGCCTGTAGGCTGGAAGAGACCAGGTCCATCTCCCCCCACATCAACCACTCCATTGGGGAATTGAAGATGATGCTAAAACCCACCACAGAACTCTTTGAAACGAGTGAAAATGAAATATAAATGAGGAATGAGGAGGAATTCCCAGAGCAGCTGCGTCTGCCCCATTCCTGGAAGGGTCCAAGGCCAGTCTGGATGGGATTTGGAGCACCCTGGGACACTTTGAGGTGTCCCTGCCCATGGCTGGGGTGGCACTGGGTGCCCTTTAAATTCTGTTCCAACCCAAACCATTCTGGGATGTTCTACTAGAGCTGGCACCACCCTCAAAATGCTGTAATTAAGCACAAGACCTTTTAATTTCACCTTTGAAAAAAAGAAAGTTCTCTCACCCATAAAAATGTTATGAAAAATTTCTTTAAGCTTCCAGGGCTGAGTTTGATAAACAAGAAATTTCAGTTGCTTGATTCAGGCACAGGTAACTCA